GGGCTCCCCCGGCGTGGCGCCCCGGGGCCCCCGGCCGCAGCGCCCGCCAGCCCACGCGGCCGCCGGGGGGCCCCCCGCGGGAGCAGTTTGGATACCCGGCGCCGCCCCTGCGCCTGGAGGGTGCAGCGCCCTGAATGCCCGCCGAGAAGTCCTAAGCAGGCAGAGGAGTGGGCACGTTTAGGCTGGGAAGAGCCCTACAATTCCCAGCATGCCTCAGCCAGCCTGTCTTCCAGGAGGGATGCTGGGAGTTGCAGGGCTTTTGTTTTTTTTCCCTGTCGGCGCATGCTCGGAGTTGCAGCCGCCGGGAGCCCTGGAGTGGAAGGGGAGCGTCGGGCGGGCGGGCCCGGGAGCCGTCGGGCCTCTCCCGCCGCCTCTCCCGCCGCCACAGCTCAGCTGGCAAACCCAGCGGGAGCAGCGCTCAGGGGGAAGCGTTTCCCCTGCGACCTTTGTGCTGAGCAGGCCGCCCCAAGGGCATCAAACGCTGCAGCTGCCTAAAGAAGCGCTGTGCGGGCGACGTAAAGCAAGCCCCAGAAGTTGCTCCCAAAGGGCTGCGAAGGGGCCGCAGTCGGGGCCACCTGGCGAAGCCCGGGCCCCGTATGGTGCTGCCTTTCCCCGAGCGAAGGGCACTGGGCTGGCCTGGGAAGGTGCGGATGGGCCCTGGCTCGATTCTCGGCGTCCGCAGGCAGGGCTGGGAACGATTCCTGAGGACCGGCGCGGAGTTGTCGAGAGCCCCGGGCTGAGGTTCCGGAGACCAGGGCCTTGTACCTGCTCAGCTGATTTTGGGTAACTCACAGACACTCAGCCCCGCCTACCTCACAGGGTTGTGGTTGTGAGCGTTAGATAACATGCAGCCTGGCAATTATCAGGATAAAGTGAGCACAAGCTCTATGCAACACAGCACATAAAATGGCTAGGAGGCTGAGATAGACTACTTGTTGACCATATCAGGAAGACTTAACCGACTGACAGCTTCGGATAGGTTCCCATCTGCACATTTTGGACGCTCAGGCGCTCTGGAGACGGACACCAAGAGCACCCATTGCTTCCAGTTTTACCACGATACCAGAGCTCACACGCAGAGGCTGATTTTCCTGAAGGATCACGGTCCGTGTGATGGGGAGGGCAGAGAAGTGGTTCTTGTGAGGTTCCAGTCCACAAAGGAGACGAGAGAGACCTTGCTCTGTGATCTGCAGCCCTTTCTGCAGTGCCCAAAGCCTGCCAGGGGGTCCCCTGGGAGCAAGCGTGGTGTGACCTCTCCCAGTCCAAGGGCCAAATGCCATTTTGCGGGGGATTTGGGGGGGGGGGGGTGCACCAAAGTGCTGAATTTTCATAACATCCAAAAAATGACGCAAGGACAAAAGAAGTTTAAAACATAACAAAGGAACAAATACCTGCTCTTGCTTCTTTTGTCATTTCATGCTACTTCTTGCTTTTCCGTCACTTCCTTCTCACTCTTCCAAAGAAATTTGAGAGGGATCAGTGGACAAAGGCGTTTCGTTTTGCAAGGGAACCAGATACGGAGCATCTCGTGGAATCGGGTAGCATCGCCTGAGCCGAGCTGGGATGCAAATCGGTGAGACGGGGCCTCTGGTCCATGCAAAACCATTCCAGAGAAGTACAAAGCGGCATTTGTCCATGTGCAGAAGAGAAGCCGGATCAAAAAGCCAGGTAAGGCGGGAGGGGAAGGGACAGTCAAGGAGCTGAGACATGTCGGACAGAGCCCCACAGTGAAAGCCCTAACCTGGACGGGATGATTGCAGGCATAATTGGGCTCACCAGATCTTGAACAATAATGCTCTTTTGAGCATCTGAGTGGATCTGGTGACAAACTGCAGATGATGGACTTGCCCTAAAAAAAGTTATATGTTCTGTACGTTAAAATGTGGAGAGCCTCACCTGTCGTCTCCCTCCCCCACATCTGCAGGGCTTTTCCTTTCCAGTTCCTTCCCTGGGAAATGGAAAAACATCCCCACGTTATGTAAACAATCAGGCAAGCTCCTAGCTGTGCTTCCTTTGCAGTGTAAAACTACTGAACCAGCTCATCATTGGCTTAAGGAGTTCTGTATCTCTGATGGAAGAAAGCGCATTTTAAACCTGTTAGATTTCTGTAGCTCCTGATTACTCAAGTCTTCAGTGGGTCATGATGGTTTTCCTGATGTCTATAATGATTTCTCATTGTTTCTTATGATTTCCCATTCTCCTCGCCTTCTCATTCATTCAGAATCTCATCACAGCCCTGAAACTGTGTACGTGACCCAGAACTTATAAAAAACTCAGCCTATGCTCTGGAACCTTGTCTGTCTGGAGCTGAAGAGGGGTGTAGGGTGCCTGAGTGTCCTCATTTTTTCTACGAGAGACCATCCCCTGTCGGAAGGCATCCCCATTTCCCAGCTCATCGCACGCTGTTCCTGAAATTTCCCACGGCTGCTGCGCATAGAGACAGCCACCTGCCTGAGTGCAGAAGAGCTCTGTGCGCTGGAAAGGGCCAGTTGTGCGAGGACTGGCCCCTTGCAAGTGTTCCAAGCACAGCTCCGCTGAAGGGGCTTTTAAACAGCAAACGTGCTCTTACAGGGAATGTTCCCCACACGGTTATTCCTGCCATGGCGTACTCCTCCTCTTCCTCATGCCCTTCTTCCCATGGCCGATCAACAGCCTGAGTTGCCGGCATTCCCAGCTGGCACTGGTCTTTTGCACGCCTTTTTTTATTCATTTATTTTTTATTTATTAAAACATTTTTATGCTGCCCCATTTGCCAAAGCCTCGGGGCGGCTTACAACAATACATCAGTTCATCATAAGTAAAAATTAAAATATATACATTAAAATAAAATACAACTATACAATATAAAATAGGCCGCCCTGGTGCGGCTTTCCACCCTGGAAGCCCGCAGACCACAGGCTTTGACCCAAGTGGGGGCAGGAAGCAAGCCAGCCAAGCTGAGGCTGTCACAGTCTCCTTACCGATGGTGGGAATGAATACTCATACCCGCAGGGAAGGCTGAATCGCCTTGAACCCCGGCGTTTTTATGGGTGAGATCACCCAGGCCCCTGCAGCGACCTATGGCAGCGTGCTCCTGGGTAGAGCTCTCCACCACCAACTGCAAAATCATAGCCTGTGTACAGATATTTTTATAACCTTCCAATCATGTACAGAGTATGAGGTTTCCAGATAATGTAAACATGGTAGCATCTCTGTCTTCGTACACAGAACAATACCTTAAACTGATCAGAACTGCCTGTGACAACAGAATAGAGAATTTCCCTGGTTGAGCCTTATTGCCAAGTCAATTAAGTGAATTCTGGGCAGTTTGGATCAGCCTGTGTGTCTGCTTAATGTGCAAATGTGTCTGATTGAGGAACCGTTCAGGAAAACTGGTTTGATAACTACACTGCGCAAGCACTTGCCTCTGTTGAACTGGATGATAAAATGGGTCCATTCAGAAACAAATGGACACTTTTGTCTCAATTCTCTGCAACTGATGGGAACACTGGTATTTCCCCACAGATATGGTTAGCTTCCAGCAGCTTCTCAGTCCAGCTAGGAATTCCATCTTCTTAAAGGAACAGCAATGCTAAGCTGTAACCTGGCTTGAAATTCTGCTGCTTTCTGAGAAAGGGGCGCAGGTTTGATTTTATAACACCAAGGCCCTTATAAGCACCTTTTTCTGGCAGCATTTATTCCGGATTTCCCCAACAAGGCACAACCAGAACAGCCCCTTTATCAAAAGCACTCACTCGCTTTCTTTCCCCCTGCAGTTTGCGATGGGCAGTGCCGTGTGCTCCCCGCTGGTGGAAATATGGGATGTGAGCTGCGGACCCGCTGCCCCGGATGCCTTGGAGCTCTCCAGCCTTTCCAAAGCCACACCCCACGGTCGCCTACCCGCCTCTGGGGCACCCTCTCCTCCTCCGCCACTCTCGGATTCCGGCAGCCACGGCAGCGGAGGAGCCCCTCCCGCAGCTCTGTCCCTCCTGGAGACCGGCTCCGGCATGGCCCTGGCGAAGGGCCACTAGCCCGCCCAGCGGGCAAGGCAGACGGTGTGTGAGCGCTCCTGGCAAGGGGCTGGGCTCTCGGACCGTGCGCTGAAGGAAAGCCTTGCCCCACTGGGCGGGCGGGCGGGCGGGCGGGCCTCCAGTGCCAGGATTCCTCCCCAGTGGCACTGCGGGCCGGGGATTACGGGAGCTGCAGGCCAGCGGACTTGGGGCTTGGGAAAGGCAGCTGCAGAGGAGGGGCTCCACAATGTCTAGTTAGTGAAGCTCCCGAGATCATGTCTCTCCGGGGTGGTGTGTCCTTTTGGCTGGACACTGTGGGAGTTCTGCTGGGCCAGGAGAGAGGCGGGGGGCTCCCCCACACTGGAGCCCTTCAGCGGAAACCGGGCAGCCCTCTGAGTGGGACGGTGCAACGCTGTGTCCTGCCACAGCAGGGGGGTGGACTTCATGGCCCCTTCCAGCTCCGCTCTTCTATGACTCTCTGATCCCAGGGCTTTGTTCCTTCAAAGTGCATTCAAAGCAGTGTTCGCTTCTAAATATTGCAGGCTGCCCCACATAGGATTCCTCTCTGAAGGAGTCAAATTTACGTTTTCATTGATGCTTTTATGCCTTCTGTGTAGTTCTTCTGTATATTGCTTCCACCTTCTCTATTTCTTCCCCTCATGAGAGAGTATGGTCCCTGTATGTTTTTAGCATCCCTAATTTAGGTTTGAATTTCCCTTTAATTGCTTGGAACTTCTGGAGGAGGCCTCTTGCGTTCCCCTTTTCTTGTTCTGCCTCTTTCTTTGTGCTGGCCGTGATAACCATGGTCACTCTTGCCCTCTACTCCGGGTCGAATTTTGGCAGTGAGAATACAGATTCTTCCTGGCTGCCTTACAATTATGAAGCCGATGACGATGATGACAGCGACGACAATTTATTTGGCACTTTCCTCTGCAGAAAGCAATCACAAAGTGACTCCAACCTACACATAGAAACATAGAAACAGAGCGAGTCAGAAGGGGTCTCCAGGGCCATCTAGTCAGACCCCCGGCTCCAGCCGGCTCCGCTCATGAGATGCCCACCATGTGCATGTCCAGCCTATCCTTGAACACGCGCACCGATGGGGCCTCAACCACCTTCCGGGGAAGCCCATTCCACACCCTCGGGGTCCTGACTGTCAGGAAGTGCTTCCTGGCATCCAAATTGAGCCTTGGTTCCCTGAGCTTGGCTCCGTTGGAGCGTGTCCTGCCTTCCTCTGCAGGGGAGAACAGGTCTCTACCCATCTCCATGTGACATCCCCTCACATACCTGTATGTTGCCAACAGATTCCCTTTGAGTCTCCTCTTCTCCAGGCTGAAGAGACCCAGTTCCCTCAGTCTCACCTCATACGGCTTCCCCTGCAAACCGGCCACCAACCTTGTGGCCCTTCGCTGCATGGACTTCAACCTGGCTATATCCTTTCTGTAACGGGCCCAAAACTGAGCACAATACTCCAATTGCGGGCGCACCAGAGTCATATAGAGTGGTAGTAATCCCTCTCTTGATCTAGAAGCCACACTTCTGGCTATGCAACCAAGGTTGGCGTTTGCCCCCTTGACCACCGCATCACACGGCTGACTCATGTTTAGCCTGCAGTCGCCCAGCACCCCGAGGTCCCTTTCACAAGGGCTGCTCTCCAGCCACTTGTCCCCTAACCTGCACTTATGACACCCATTCCTATGCCCCAAGTGCAAGACCTTGCACTTATCCACATTGAACGCCATCCTGTTGTCTCTTGCCCACTTCCATAGTCTGTCCAGATCCTTTTGGATCTGGAGTACCTGCTCCTCAGTTGTGGTCACTGCTCCAGTTTTAGTGTTGTCTGCGAATTTGATCAGCAGACTGTTCACCCCTTCTTCCTTGTCATTGATGAAAAGATTAAACAGGATCGGCCCCAGGACAGAGCCCTGGGGGACCCCACTTATCACTGGCCGCCATCCCGATGATTCCCCACCAATGGTTACCCTCTGCTTTCGGTCAGTCAACCATGCCCTAATCCACCGGACAGTGCTTTGGTGTATCCCAAAACTCCTCAGTTTCTCCACCAGGATATCATGGGGCACTTTTTCAAGGGCCTTGCTGAAATCCAGGTATAGCACATCCACTGCATCCCCTCCATCTAGCCATCTCAAAACCTTGTCGTAGAATTCCACAAGGTTTGTCTGGCAGGACCTGTTTTTACGGAAGCCGTGTTGTGTGGCTGCCAGCCTCCCTTCCCTATCTAGCATCACTAGATTTCTCTCTATTATGAGCCTTTCCATTGTTTTTCCTACAATGGACATAAGGCTAACCGGTCCATAATTCCTCGTGTCCTTTCTACTACCCTTTTTGAAAATTGGGACCACTGATGCCACTCTCCAGTCCTCTGCAACTTCATCCATTCTCCACGAGGCCTCAAAAATGGAGGCCAGCGGGTGTGAGAGAACCCCTGCCAACTCTTGAAGTACTCTCGGATGTAACCCATCGGGGCCCGGCGCCTTTGTAACATCCAGTGCCCTGAGGAGCCCCTCGACTTCTAGGGGGTGACTCTGATCCATACCCCTAGGTTCCCGGCCTCATCCAATTTCAAACTCATCACATGTCAACCTCCACGATGGTAAGGATCATTGTCATCCTTTACAACAGCCTGGTATGGGAGGTCATTATCCCTGCCCGCCATGGTGTGGATGGTGGACTGGAGGGGAGCTGTGGCTGAGAAGGGTGACTTGGTGGCATTCAGACTGGGGACTTCCTGACCTGGGGCTGAGTCTGTCTTTTGCCGCATAGTGCTGGCTTTGCCCAGGGCTGGTTTTGGTTGATGCTGTCTTTGCCTTGCAAGGCTGTGGCCAGGACAACCCCGACTGGGCTTCCTTGAGCCCTGGAATACAGGGGGATTCTGGTCGATATGCCAGGGAAATCAAAGCGGGTGCAACGGTCAAATCGCCCGGCAGTCACCAGTAGGTGGCAGCATGAGCAAAACGCAGTTTGGGAGAAAATGCAAGATAAATTTCCTGCAGGGCAGGATCAGCTGCTCGGAGGTCGCAGCGGCCCCAAGAGCTGGCGAGGCTGATCGGAGGTCTGGAGGGAAGCTGGCCTGGGCGCGGTGGTCTGAGCCAGAGCAGGCGGCCTCTGCGATGGGGAGAGGAGGGCCACGCGGGGCTCCGGGCAGGTGAGGGGCGTGAGCGCTCCCCGGCTCCTGGTGCCAGCTCGAACTGCCTCCTGTTAAAGCCCCTGCACGAACTGACCCGGGAGCCCCACTTCCTCCCCAGTTACGCGCTGGTTACGGCAGCTGCCTCTGGCTCCCTGGCACTTATTAGCTCTCCAATAGCCTGGCCTTCCCGGTCTTGAACACCCGGAGGGTGATTGTTCTTTTGGTTAAAGATATACCAGGACAGCCGTGTTCCCTAAGAGGTTATGCAGAGTCCAGCATAGCTCTCACTGGCCCCACAGGACTGGGGGAAGAAATTTTCGTGCACCAGGTAGGCCCGGGTCTTTCCAGGAGCACTAATTAGCCTGCAGGGAGGCACCATTCGCGCCCTCTCTCGCTTCCTTTCTTCTGTATGTTTCTGCCCCGCCTTTTCCCAGCAAGGAACCCAGGGCAGCTTGCATGCGCCTCCTCGCCATCTTTCCTTCACAGCAGCCCTGGGAGGGAGGGAGGGAGCCACTGAGCAGCCCAGGGCTGTCCAAGGGGCTCTGCAGCCGAGACCAGGCCCCATCCCGCACGCGAGCTGCCATGCCATCCTGGCTCTCTGCTCTCGAGCAACTGCTGGGACCTTTGGGTCCCAGGCCAAAGTCTCCAGGGGCCATGCCCCTGTCCTGAGCGCCACCCCTCTTCCTGAGCCGTGACGCCCAGCTTCGTTCCCCGACTGCCTCTTCCAGAAGGCTAGGACGCCCCTCCGCGGCTTTATGCTCCCGCCAGGAAGAGCTGGGAGCTTTGCCATGCTGGGCACTCTTGTATTTCGGGGACTGCTTTTGGCTTTGGCCTGCTGAATGCTGGAACCGGGACCCCGAGAGCTTCTCCAGAGGAGGGTCCCGCCCTCGGGATGAAAGGCATTCCACGCCCCCGCTGTGTCACATGGTCAACAGAGGGCACCGGGTGCGGGAAGGCTTGGGTCAGTGTGACTGGGTTTGATTACCCGGCGGTCTGGTTTGGAAGGAGGCAGCTTCCTCTAACAGCAGTGCCACCCAAATTCTAATCAGAGCTTACAATTAAGAACGGGTGTTGCTTTTCATGTGGCACCATCTGTGTGGGATCAGCTGGGTTTGTAGATGGGAAGGAAGGGGAGGGTTTGGAGAGGAGACTTTGGCGGGCCTGGGATGGCATCTCCCGGAAGGCAGACCCGGCATCAGGGGCTTGTGCACCACAAGCTTCATGGGGGGCCTGCAGAGTTATGTCACGGGGAGCAGGAGGGCTGAGCTGGCTGTGATGTGGATCTGAAACGAGGCGCTGCCCTGCCACTGGGGGCCGCATGGCCAGACTGCCGGGTGGGGGCCCCTCTGCGGAGGCCATTCTGTGTGCCGCGAGGCCGTGCCCTTGCTGGCAGCACCTTCCGTCTCGCTGGAAAGGAGCATCCTGCCAGAGGGCTTCCTGGCGCCTGGGGCCGGCCGGCCTGACAGCTCCCTGGCTGTGTGTAAGTGCTTCCCAGCCAGCTCTCCAGCACCCAGCTGGCCTGCTGCACTTCCTGGCGGAGGGTCCCTGTGCCCAGTCGCCCGGCTCCCCCCGTGCAGCCTGCTCTGCTCCTTTCCCTACCTGTCCCTGTGGTCCAGACGGTGGAGGGGCTGGGGAAGGGCGGCAGATGCCCCAGCTGGCTCACTCCCACACTCTCTGGCCCTCTGGGAGCCACGGGGAGGAGGAAGAGGAGGTGGCGGCGCAAGAGCAGCTGGTGGGAAAATGGGGTCGGAGGGAGGGGAATGGTGGAGCTCGGCCTCGGGGCCACCAGAGCCCACTTAACTGAACAGGTAGGAGTTCAGGTCACCTGGTGCTCCCTCTGTTGTGGCAAGACAGCTTATAGTTTTCGTATCGCTCCTAAATTTGCATATATGCGCACACGAACACACGCACACTTCCACAGGCAAATGTTACACAAATCGGCATCCTCGGGTGTCCTGGGCTCCCTCCCACTGCGGCTCGGAGAAGCTGAGGACGCAGCCTGCAAGCCACGGCCCCCGCCAGGCGTACAGGCACTCTGCTGTGGCCTGGCCTGTGGAGGGAGAGGCCTTCCTGGGCAGCCTGCCCTTGCCGTCCCCACAGAGCCAGCCAGACCATCCAAGGGCTTCTGGGGCGTGTCCTGCGACGACACGGGAGCACGGGGGCACAAGCGAGGGCCTGGTGCGGAGGGGCTCTGTGCCGCCACCGCGTTGCTCCCCCATGAGCAGGCAGAGCCTGCCAGCGCCCCCCACTTGCCAGCAGCCCCCTTGCTCTGTCGCGGCCCTGCCCACCGCCGGGCGCATGGGAACAGAACCCCTCTGTCCCGGGAGGGCGTCTTGGGCCCCACCGGCAGGATGGCGCCCACCGCTGGCGGTAGCCAGGCGGAGGACGCTCCTCGGGGACTCCCGCAAGGGGCTTGCCGGCATCGTGGGCTCAATGCCCATGATGGCCAGGTCTGCGGGAGCTGCATCGGTGCCTGGGGACGAGGCAGGGCAGCCGTGGAACTGCTCCTGCCGGGAGCTTCTCCTGAGACACATCCAGGCAACTGCCAAATGGGGTGGTCTTGGGAAAGGGGGTGGGGCGAGGCCAAGGGGGCATGCCCCTCTGGGAACCCCGGCAGGCCAGCTGGGGCCCCGAATTTCCCGCGCTGGCTCCAGGCTGCGATTCGATCCCTGCTTCCTGGGAGCAGCCGGTCAGCCAGCCGAGCACGGCTGCCGAGGACACGTGCAGCGCAAACTGCCGGAGGTTGGAGCAGATGCTTCGTGCGCTTAATCACTGATGGAGCCTTGCCTTTCGCTGCCAGATTCTATCACAGACCCGTTTCAGAACTCTGAAGGAAGCAGAGCTGCTGCTGGTTGCAGGAAGCGCAGCACCCCTCCTCTGCCGCTCGCTCGCAAAGATGATGGGGAATGATGCTTTTTCTTCTTTCGTATTCTTTGGCACCCTTTTAGTCCTGAAGATGTACGCTGTGGCCATCATTACCGGACAAGTCAGACTTCGTAAAAAGGTAGGCCCTTCCCCCACCCCCTTGCCGTTTGCAGCCCAAGTTTAAAGACATTCTTTCTGGCTTGCAAATACTTGGAAGGATTAGACTCCAGGCCTCAGAGCTGCAGCGCTTCTTTTTCAGGCCCTGCAGCAGTTTGGGGTCCAGGTCGCTGTTCTGCAGGGACACAGTTGCTTATTCTGTTGTTCTTCCTCCGGCATTTTGACGTTCTGCGCCCTTTTTGCATTTGCTGCCTGCTCTTAAGTTGCCCTTTAAATACTTCCCAAGCTTTGCAGAAATTCCAGCTTCATCCGAGAGGGATGAAAACAGCCAGTGGAATTGAATAAGTGCTAGACAAGCTTTTGCAAGAAAAACAACTCCCACTAAATGTACAGATGTAGTCATGAAAAGCAAACAAACCCTGGCCAATCAGGACCTTAGGTGTGGATGGAAGAAATAAAAATGTCAGACAATAAAAAGCATTTTTCATATAGGAGCATGTGCAGCTGAGCAAAGACCTCTGTTCCCCAGAACAGAAAGATGGGATGTTGCTATGGCTCTCTCTGTGTCATTAAAAATTGAGCTTTTTATGTTGTTGTTTTTATTTCCAAATGAAAGTCTCAAAGAAAAGAATGCATTCTCTAGTTTGCTGAAAAGCCCTCCGGATCTGTTTTTTAAATGAATGTTAGCTTGAGTTGCACTCTGTAGTTTAGGATACAAACAAACTGAGCAATGGTCCTTTTTAAATTTTTGGATTGGATCAACTTCGGATAGTGTGTGCATTGCAAGTTTTTTGAGTCGCACAGTATTTTTCCATGCAATGGATCTTGGCAAGCTTACGCATGGCTGAGAGTTGGAATTGTTTGGTCTTCCCAAAAAAAAAAAAGGACATCTCACCAGAGGACGCTTGTTTTTCTGAACAGAAATGGGCGGACTTGTGCTGGGATGGCTTTTCTGATACAACAGCCCAAGAGCATGCATGCACTCTTGGGCCAGGGAACTTGCACCAGTCGCTGGGGAACATGGGTGGGCGGACAGGCAGAGTCCTTCCTTTGCACTGGCTGTCCTAACAGGAATACTGTCATGGGAGTACTGCCTTGAAGGCTCAGCGGGGGATTCTGTGTGGCAAAGCGCCCTGTTCAGTGGACGGGGGGGTCTGACATGCTGCATGGAGGGACATCCTTGCACAATTTTGACCTTTTCGCAGTCCGTCTCATGGTCCGCTTGTGCAGGATCAAGTGCGGCACAGGAGTGTTTCAAGCGGAGAGTAAATTCTGGGAACGGCGGCGTTGCCAAGTATGTCAGCTGGAAGGGCTCCGCCAACGTGCAGATCAATGACCTGGAGTGCAGTGTGGAGCCCCAGAGATGCAGGGAATAAACGGCCAAGCCGCATCCGGAGATGCTCACGATCTTCTGGAAGGGGGAGGGAGAGGGACTTGAGAAAGGAAAAACCCATCTTGGGACATGGGAGCCCACTGAGGCATCCAAACCGTGTGCGCTCTCCAAATTTATGGAGGAGGGATGGTGAGCGTCCAGCTGATGGACCCATCTGGGGCCTCTGTCCCGCCCTCTGGGGTTGCTTGGAGGGCCACGCCGCCTTTCCTCCGACCAAGCTTTCGCCACACTCGCTGAACGGCTGAGCGGCATCGCCTAAGGCCGTCTGGAAGCCCTTCACAAGCTCCAATCGGCTGGTGTCTTGGGGCCGGCTGGCCACCTTCTGCTTCACTCCCCACTGGAATTTGGTCCCCACGCGGGCTGCTGTGATTGGGGTGCCCCCAAAGAGAGGTTGGCACCCTGCCATGCGGACTGGCCTCTGCCTTCGTTGGGCTATGTGCGGGAGGGAGGGCCTCCTCTGTCTGTGGGGCTCTTTATCTAGCATGGCCGCCACTCTGGGCAGCCTGGGGGCTGTCCGTGGTGCTGAACTGCTCTCGGCCGCCACCTGCAGGGCTCCTGGAGGCCTGGCCGGCCGGTGCAGGAGCAGCGCTCTGGACTGGACCTCCCAACCTTGCCTTCGGGCTCCCCAAGTGCCCTCCGATGCCCTCGGCGCCCTGACACTGGATGGGGCATCCCTGAGCCCATGCTGAGACGCAGCAGGCCTTGCCTCTGGGAAGCCCCATGAGGGACACAGACGTATGCCCCAGAGCCCCGCCCCAGTGGCGCCATCATGCCCTCCATGCTCAGGAAGGGGGCTGGAAGGTGCTTCTGATTCAGCCAGGCCCTTCTGACGTAGCCCATGTCCTGCCCGCTGGCTGACCCTTGTCTCCCTCCAGGCGTTTGCCAACCCCGAGGACGCGATGAGGCATGGCGGACTCCAGTTCCACAGGGAAGACCCTGACGTGGAGCGCTGCCTCAGGTGAGTCTCGTGACGGCCTCTTTTTCTCACAAAATTCTTCCAGCCCAGCACCGAAGAAGCCTTAGTGCTGCCTCCCCTGTGCCCACGAACAGATCGGGGCACGGCTCCCGCCAGTCTGGCCTCCCCTCCAGGGACCAGTCCAGCCACCTGCGAAAGTCCTCGTGACCTCTCGCAGGCGTGAATGCCGTAGCTTAACCCTGTGCCGTGGGGAGAAGGCCTTGCTTGGATCCCTCCCCCCACTCCGCTTGAGAGGATGACCCCCCCACCCCCGGGTTCCAGCAGGAGGAAAAGGACAGTGAGAAGAGGGCTCTGTTGCAAGCATAATTTGGGAGCCCCGCCAGGCCGTTCTGCTTGCCCTTCCGCAGGTTGAGCAGTCCCAGTGGTGCCGGGGAGCCGGGCCGACCCCGGCCCGTCTGCCTGCCCTTCCAGCTCCGCAGCACACACCACCTCCAAGGTGCTAGTCCTCAATGCTGTGTCCTCTGAGCGTGAAGAGAGTTCTGCAGGAATTCTCACCGGCAGGGGTTGGGTTGCTTGTGTCGACCTTACTCTGCCTGGGGGTGAGTGAGCTGTTCTTGACTGGGCACTCGTCTCTCTGGCAGCCTGTGGCCTCCCGGGCTGCCCACATCGCATTGCATCATGACTGGAGCCCAGGGAAGACATCCCAATTGTCCCACGGGGCTTCTCCAGGCCAAGAAGCGGAGGCAGTCTGAAAGCAGCGGAGAAACGCGGGGCAAAAGGAGCCCCCCCCCCCACGTGCCCTGCGGGGATTAGAAACAGCGCAAAGGTGAAGCACCAAACGCTCCCGGAGAGTCGGAGCAGGGCAGGCCCTCGCCCGGAGGGAGGAAAGAGAGCCGGTGTGGCGCAGAGGTCAGGGCGTGGGACCGGGACTCAGGCGATCCGGGTTCGAGTCCCCGCTCGGCCATGGAGCCAGCTGGGTGACTCTGGGCCAGTCACAGGCTCTCAGCCCACCCACCTCACAGGGCTGTTGTTGTGGGGATAAGATGGAGGAGGAGAATGATGTCAGCTGCCTTGAGCCCTTTGTAGGGAAAAGGCAGGACATAAATTGGAAAAAAAAAGAAGAGGAGGACAGGTTTGGGCATGGTGCAAGCCCCATGGCCTCCCTGCTGAGTTGTGGCGGAAGGGAGGCGTGGGCCAGGTGGCCAACGCACACGATGCTTCGGCCCCTCGCCATGGTCATGCGGCCCCCTCACAGCAGGGGGGAAGCAGCACTGCCCCCTACCCACGGTGAGCACCCCTGGTGAAACACTGTTGTAGAGACTTTCTGGAGAAATTTGGTGAACTTACCCCCTCCTCCAATTTTTTGCACAAAGACGGTAGAGAATTGCAAGAGGTTCTTCTGACTTCCACAGAATATTGCCCCAAGAAGACATCCGCTTCTCAGAAATACTGAGTCCCGTACTTCTTTCTTTAAAAGAGAGTCTTCCTTCCCTGAGAAGGGTGTGATTAATTGGGTAATTAATCCAAGCAAGTCTGCTCATTTCTGTCTGTTGAAGTTGCAGCTGATTGTTGTCAAAGCAAAACCAGAGAGCAGGAAGGCTAATCCCACAAGGTCAGAAGTTTCAGTGTTGTGCAACCATTGCCTGGAGGGAGCTGTTTCTAAGCTGAGCTCCTTTCGCAGGAATCTCATCTTCATAGGAATCTCATCTGGGAATCTACCAGGGCCATGTCCAGGATCCCTTCTAGAGGGAAGGATACATAAAGTGGGTCTTTGGTAACACAGTGGGTTTTTAACTTTTTACCTTTTTTTAAAACTTTTAAAACTTTTTACCATTCTAAAAGACATTGGCATGACAACCATGTTTTAAACCAGACATGAGTGCAATCCAAGGACTGCAACTTTTTCCCTAAAGATAAAGCAAGATTCTAGTCCTCGTGGTTCGAAGCAGTGGTTTTAATGGGGACATAGGAAAGTAACACACGAACCTCGATGCCTTCAGCTTGATGTTGCTTTCGCTGATTGACGGCTGCAGCTCTCCAGGCTCTCAGGCAAGCCTTTCTCCCGTGTAGCCATGAGATGCTGCTCGGGACCAGGCCTGGGGTCGTCTGTGTGCAAAGCAGGGCCCCTCACACTGAGCCATGGCTGTGCCTTTTCTTTTCAGGTGTAATTCCATGCAAGGAGAGGCCAGGCAGGCTGGGGAGGGAGCGGGTGCAGCTGGAAGGGCTGGGTTTCCAGACCAGAACCACCAAGAGGGAACACAGTCCTGATCCGTTCAGGCAGGCGGGACTGGTCTGAACGGACAAATGCTGCCTCCCCCTCCTCTTTTTCTTTCTCCTGGCAATGGAGGCATTTCCCCTTGCACTCTTTGAGGTTCTCTGGCCTGGAAGGAAGGCGAGTGGGTGTTGGGAGCGGCAGCGAAAGTGGCCGCTGGCGTGGGGAGATTTACAGCTCGTTGTTTGCTTCAGGGAGTGGAGCTGAGCCCTGGAATGTAAGCACAGGCCTGCCGGCTGGCTCCTTCGGGAGAGGCCAGGCCGGGGGGGGGCCGTGGCCCCCGCCTGCCTTCCACGCCTCCGGGGAGCGGGCGCGCTCCCGGACTCTGCCTTTGCACCTTCCCGGACCCTACGGGGTGCTGGAGAAGCCTGCAAGCGACCCGTGCGAGATCAGCCCCGCAACACTCCGGCCCACAGACTCTGCAGCAGGCCAGCCTGTCCCAAGCTGCACGGATTCTGGGCTCTTCATCCTGGCTTGCTTTTATTTTTCCTGGGAGGAGCTTTGGCACATCCGCAGTGGTGCATCACCATAAACAGAATGCAGTTGCCCTGGGACAGATACCAGGCGGTGTACGAGCACAGACGGAGAGGACTGAATCCAGCCTATTCCTCTCTGTCCCCCAGCAAGGTTTATTTTGAGTCCATCTTGTTTCAAGTACAGTTTTAAAAACCTGGCTGGGGTGGGAGTCGCAGGGCTTCTTTCAGCCCGCAGGCTCGATAGGGCCATGGGTCAGATCTGTGTTCCAGACCCCGCTCGGCCCTGCGGGTCCTGGGTGCCTTTGGGCCTCCCTGCCTACCTCACAGGGCTGGAAGGTGGAAACAGAGAGGAGGAGCGCCTAGCCGACCTTGCCGGGTCCCTTGTTAGATCGGTGCCTTGCCCCCCCCCCGCCCCGTGCGGGGGCTCGCAGGCAACGGCTCCGGTGGCCTCTTCTTTTTTTCACAAAGCTGGCCGTTCGCCAACAGGGCGGCTCTCCGCGAACGAGGGCGCGTGGCCGCCCCGCGGGTCTCCAAGGTGACCCCGGCCGGGACCAGGGCCTGCGGGCTCGGAGCCGCACGCCCCCAGCTCCGCAGCCTTGCGGGGCCACCGCGCGCGAGGGGGGCCGGGGGCGCTTCCCGCTCCTGCGCCGGCTCGGCGAGGGGCGAGTCCCGGGCGCCGCTGCGTCGGCGGCCGGAAACGCGCGCTCCCTGCGTCACCCCGCGGCGGCGCTGGGCGCGGGCCAAGGCCGAGGCGCCGCGCACGCAGGCGGGCGGGCGAGCGAGGGAGGGAGGGAGGAGCGCGGGGGCGCGCCGGCCCCTCCCGGATGGGCCTCGGGGCGCTCTTCGCCCAAGCCCCGGCCCTTCCCAGCCACCCACCCACCCACCCCTTGCAGGGGGTGCCCGGCCAGCGCGACCGCGGGCTTAGTTCCCGCCGCGCTGGGCTGGACGGCACCGGGGGCGGGGCGGGGCGGGGCGGGCGCCCAGGCCCCGCGCCCTCCAGGCCCGCCGGGCTGCTCCTGCGCTCTCGCCTGCTCTGCTCGCACGCCCGGGCGCTGCGGCAGCGGGAAGTGCCGGCTGGCCGGCCGCCCTGCCCGCCAGCGCCCACCTGCCCAGCCAGCGAGGGGCCGCCCGGAGGAGGGGCACGGCGGGGGCGCGCGGAGGAGGGGTTCCCACGGTCGCAGCCCTCCGGGCAGGGGAGGCTCTGGCCAGCGGGTCCCTTGCTGGCCCGTGCTCAGACCGCGCCTGCCCCTAGCATCTGCCAGGACCAGGAGCAAGGCCACATCCAGGGCATTGTGGGTAAACAGTGGCCTCAGGGAAGCCCCCAGCCGCCACCACGGGGCAGGGCAGGGAAGCAGAACCAAATCGGCCCGAGGGCACGTGGCAGAGCCCGCTGGGGTCCCTCTTCTCCTGGGCGAGCACACAGCTTGCCAGCATGGGGCGGACTCTCCGGCCCCTCAGTGCTGGTGTCCTTGCCCTCCGCCACCCGCAGCGGCCTCATGGCTCAGTGGGGTTTTTCCGAGCCTGGGAGGCGGAAGTTTCAGCTTGCAAATATCCCAAGGAGCGGCCAGGCGCTGGCGGGGGTGGGGGGCCTCCCCAAACTGCTGGGGGCTTGTGTGATGAATCAGCTGGGACAAGTTGATCCTGTCGCTCTGGTGGGGGGGGGGGGGGCCTGCCGCCCAGCCTTCTTCCCACAGAGTCACTTGGGAGGGGACTTTTAACGATGAGGAATGCTATTAAACCCTGTCTCTTGCCTCCTGGACGGGCAACCAGATAGAGGCTGTCGCAGGAACATGTGCCTGGACTTGTCGCAGAATTACTTACTTGTCTGGCTGGGGAAACCGCTGACTTCTGCAACAAACTGTTGCAACTTACGTCTTGGGAAGGGTGTCTGATGCCTTTTCCTCCCTTCAGCTGCAGGCATTTAGGGCTTGGACGGCAGAGTGGCCCACTCTCCCCCTTTACAAAGACCTTCCCTCTGTTCTAGCGGTGTTGGGTCATACGTCTGTGGGCCAGAGCAAGCCTTCCGAGGCTCCCGGCCTGCCCAGCCAGCGATTCCTTGGTGCCTTCGGGGCTTTTGCCTGTTTCCGCCTCCCAGCCATTCAGAAAGGCCCGTGTGTCTCCCCTAAGATTTCATTACAAGCAGTCGGACTGGCATTTTTGGCCTCCGCTCTTGCCTGCAGCGCATCTGTGCTGCCTTTCAAGAGCAGCCCAAGGGCAGTTTGCTAGTTGAGTGTGTCCTCTCAGATGGGGTGTCCAAGCTTGGTTTCCAGGAGAGGATCAAGCCCATGAAGCCGTCCTCCAGCAGTTCGCACTGTTGGAATGGGGAAAGTGCTCAAAATCCTGGGAAAGCCGGTCGGCGGCCGGGGGAGGGTGGGGTCCACCTGGGCCGGGCCGGCCTGCAGGTCTGAGGTGGAATTCGTCTTGGAGAATAGGCGTGGGTTGTATGCTGGCTTCCCAAACCCAGGGCTTGCTGGCAACTTCTGAGTGACAGGAGCGAGCCCACAATGCCCTGGGCCGGCGCCGCTGCAGGGCATTATGGGAGCGCGTCAACAAGGCTGCAGCAGAGCCTGATGCTGCGTCTGCCGCTGCGTGGTGGCCTCCCGGGCCGGCACTTGAGGCCGAAGCTGGCTTTGAGCACGCTGGATTCAATTTTGCGTTTGACCCCAGGGCTCATCGAAATGACATGGAGAACATCTACCCGTTCCTCTTCCTCGGAGCAGCCTACTCCCTCCTGGAGCCCAACCTGACTGTGGCCCGGATACACTTCCTGGTCTTCTTCTCCGGCCGGATGGTCCACACCGCTGCCTACCTGCTGAAGCTGAGGGCCCCCACGCGGTCCGTGGCCTACAGCGTGGCCCAGCTCCCCTGCGTCTCCATGGCCCTGCAGATCCTGCTTGCACTGCTTTTCACAGACTAGCCACTGCGCCTCGGCCACCCGGCAGCGACTGGGCAGTGACCGAGGCTGGAAGGAGAGGCGCGATCTTTGTCCCTGGCCAGGGCGCAAGCCCGGGGCGCTTCTTGCTGCCGTGTTGGCTCTCTGATCCCCCCCCGCCTCCTCCGCCTGGGGGAGCCCTGGGATTCTCCTTCGCCCGGATCGCACTCCTTGGAAGGCTGCCTCCCTCCCTCTGGGCGCGTGTTCGGTGGGGCCGGACGTTGGAGGATGCACTGGAAGCACAGCCCCATCCGTGCTCAATAAAACGGTCCCTTGAAGAGAGGAAAG